CCCTCAAGGTCTGCAAGGGAAAAACAAAAACAAAACATTGGGCAAGGTTGCTGCCCAAACAGGAAACTCCATGGAGGATCCTGAGCCGCCCCAGGGCCTGTGATCCCTGAGGGCAGCTACCGGCGGGGGGGGGAAGGGCCCAACCCAACAACGGCCGCAAAAGGGCCCCCCAACCCCCCCCCCCCCCAAACAACGCAACCAAAGCCTCTGTCCTGCCTGCAGCTCCACAGTAGACCCTTCCCAACGCATCTCCCACAGAGCCTTCTGGCACCAGATCACGCACCAGCCTCAGGTGTGCCACTTCCACCGCCACCTCTTTGCCAAGGCCTGTTCTATCCCCAGCTCCACCCATGGGCAGCCTCGCCCCAACACACAAGGCCCAGTTCGAATGCCACCTTCTCCAGGAAGCCTCCCTGGACCTCCTCAGCCAGTCCTCTGCCTCCCTGGCCCCTTCTACCACTATTTTGGCCCTTCGTGCCCACCAACCTCCAGCCTCTGTCGTCCCCGCTGGATGCTAAGGCTCTCGAGAGCAGGGACTGCACTCCTTACCACCGCCCCTCCCAAGGGGCCCAGCCCAGGGCATGCGTTAAAAGAAATTGCCAGCAGAGCACAGTGCTCACGCCTGTAATCCTAGCACTCTGGGAGGCCAAGGCAGGCGGATTCTTTGAGCTCAGGAGTTCAAGACCAGCCTAAGCAAGAGCAAGACACCGTCTCTACCAAAAATAGAAAAATTAGCTGGGCATGGTGGCGCATGCCTGGAGTCCCAGCTACTCAAGGGGCTGAGGCAGGAGGATCGCTTGAGCCCAGGAGTTTGAGGTTGCTGTGCGCTAGGCTGACACCACAACTCTAGCCGGGGCAACAGAGTGAGACTCTGTCTCAAAAAAAATAAAAATGAAAAAAATAAATTGCCTCCTCAGAAAAAAAGAATGGTAACAGTAATAATAATAGCTGCCCTCCCTTGACCGTAACTACAGGTCAGGCCGTGAGCTTTAGGGCTCCACACAGATAATGCAACTGAGGCCAAAGCGAGGCAGTGACTCGTCCAAGATCACTCTGTTAATGAGAGGAAAAGCCAAGATTTGAACTCAAGTTTGTCTGACCTGGAAATGCACACTGGGTCACCGGGGAGAGAACATGGGGGACAGCCTGTTAGGCCCGTCGCCAGTCTCCCCTAGGTGTGAGGGCACCTGAGGAACTATATCACAACACAAGCCTCTCGAAGAGCCCAAAGCTGCCCCGCCCCCACAGTGCCCAGGTGTGGCTGAGCCCTGGCGGGAGTCTCGCCCAAGAGCAGCCCCGCAGTGGTCCCGGGAGGAGGGTTCTGCCCTCAGTGGACATCACTGTCCCCTTGGAGGCCTCACCAGGCAAGAGACACCAATATGGAGGATGGACCAGGTGCGGGGGAGGCTCACTTTGAAGGAGTTCCTCCAGGAGGAGGTGACATTTCAGAGCAGTCTTCAAGGATGTTTTCCCTTCAGGTAACCCACTGATGAGGTGAGGGAGGTGTGTGTGTGTGTGTGTGTGTGTGTGTGTGTGTGTAAGATAAGAACATGCTCAGAGACCTGTGTTGGTCAGCAGAGGCCAGGTGTGAGTCGCTGTAAGGGCACCACAGGATGGAAAGGGAAATGAGTAGATGGATGCATGGATGGACAGGTGGGAGGGTAGGTGGCTACAGGTGTGGGCGGTGGATCAAGGGATGCAGATGGATGGGGCGGGTGGGTGTATCAGTGGGTAAACGAATGGAGCAGAAGGATGGGTGGGTGGATGGAAGGGTGCGTGGGAAGGTAGGCAGATGGAGTGGGTGGTGGGCGGATGCATGCATGGGTGGGCAGATGGATGCATGGGCGTTACACACTCTAGCACTCCTAGCACTCTGGGAGGCCGAGGTGGGTGGATAACTCAAGGTCAGGAGTTCAAAACCAGCCTGAGCAAGAGCAAGACCCCGTCTGTACTAAAAATAGAAAGAAATTAATTGGCCAACTAAAAATATATAGAAAAAATTAGCCAGGCATGGTGGCATGTGCCTGTAGTCCCAGCTACTCGGGAGGCTGAGGCAGGAGGATTGCTTGAGCCCAGGAGTTTGAAGTTGCTGTGGGCTAGACTGATGCCACGGCACTCTACCCTGGCAACAGAGTGAGACTGTGTCTCAATAAATAAAGAGATGGATGGGAAGTAGTTGGGTAAACGGGTGGGCCGAGGGTGGGCAGACGGATGGACAGTGAGTGGGCAGAGGGCAGAAGGACAAATTGGCAACTGCACTGGTAGGAGGATGAGCCAGTGAACACTCAAGAGATAGAGGAAGACCAATGAATGGGTCAACAAGCAGATGCATAAACTGACCAAAAGCCCAGCCAGACTCTGGGGTGCAAAGGGTGCCTGATCCCTAGGGAGGGACTGGGAGGGGCTGATAGATGTGCCCAAGCCAACTCAGCTCCAGGCTCCCACTCCAAACCTGGCTGGAACCTGGTTCGAGGCCACTGGCATCCCTGGGTCCCCAAGGGGGAAGTGCTTCTCTCTAGCTATGCCCTGCCCCTCATCTCTAGCTCCACAGAGAACTCCCTGGCCAGAAACTGCCTCCTTCCCTCAAGCACCCCTCCTCACCTTGGCCACCAAGTCTGCAGGGCTGAGTTGAGGGGGCAACTCTATGGCTGCCGCCCAAGGAGCCAGGTTTCTTCAGGATAGGGGAGGAGGTAGGGGCTCCTGAAGTCCAGGCAGTCTGTCCCACCTAGCAGCTCCCAGACCCCAGCTGGGAGGCATTTGTTCTGCATTCTGCATGGTGATTGCAGCTCCACAGCGTTAACCCCTGCACTCCTAGGCACCACCTCTTGAGGGGAAGGAAGTGGACTGCAGGAAACTGGGAGAGCAGAACGGCAGAGAAAGGAGGACTGTCCCAACCCCACAGTTTTCTCAGGGATATGGAGACCCCTCCCTTTCTCCCATTTTCCAGAGGGAAGAACTTAAGTTGGATCCTTAAATCCCAGAAGTGGAGCCAGAATCAGGGATGCAGCCTACTTGAGACAGATTTCTATCTGGAGACAGTCTGCAAAAGAGGGAGAGGGCTCCTCTCAGCCTCAGTTTACCCCTCTGTAAAACGGGGCAAGAATCCTTGACTCAGAGGTTGCCTCACCATGAGCTGGAGGAGACAAAGCACCTGGCACATAGTGGGGAGATTCTCAGCCGCTGGGTGTTTCCTGCCCGCCCTCCCAGCCCTGGGGAAAAGAGGACGGGCGTGCTGTGGTGCAGGTTGTAACCGCTTCCATTAGGACTGCTTTCTCCACCATCGCTCTAGGGCTCGCAACACCCCTGTAAGTAGTAAACACCTGCACTGTATTATGCCCATTTTATAGATAAGAAACTTGAGCTCAGAGGAGCCAAGTGCTTTGCCCACAGTCACCCATTGGGCCAGGATTTGAGCTCGGGGGCTTCAACATTGCACCAGACTGCTTCCTTTGCCAACTGCTCCAAGGATCCTCTGACTAGAGTGACGTGTAATTTATTGTCTAACCAGGTCACCTCTGAGAATGAAAGGAAGTGCTATTAATAATTACGCTGGGACAGTAGGCGTAATCTGGGACTGTCCTGGGCAAACTGGAAAGTGTGGCCACGCTGCCAAAGTAGGGGGCTTGCGCAAGCTACTTCATTTCTCTGCAACATGGACACGATGGCAGTACTGTCCCTATGGGGCTCCCTTGGGGATTTAATGTGATAATGCGTGTGAGTGCTATCGGGCCCAGTATGCATTAGGTGCCCCATAAGTGCTGCGCCTGCACCACACAGGCTGTGTTAGGGACTTCTCTGTGCCATGACAGCAGCAGGTCTTCCTGCCTGTCCTCAGGAAGCTCACAGTCAGAGGGGAGTAGTCAGAGGAGGGCACAGCACCATGAGGCAGGAGTCAGAGATCTCTCTCCCGTCCTTGAGGATGGCACAGGGTCCTGGGCATGGTTGACGCCCTGCTCCCCATGTGAGGGGGACTTAGTAAAGGCTTCTGAGGTGTGACCTTATTTACCTGCTCCGCAAGCCTCCTAGGTGATAGAGCAGGGACCCTCTAGGTAAAACACGTGACATCTGCTATTATTATCCCATTTTACTAATGGGGAAACTGAGGCACAGAAAGGTGAGTGGTGATGGAGGCAGGAAAGGAACCCAGGCTGCCTGGCTCCAGGCTCTCCTGCCTTGACTACCACGCTACACCGCTCTACAAGTGGCCTCCCATGACCTGCACCCCAGTGTGGCTAAGTTGTCCTACTGGCACGCGCAAGGCCTGTATTGGGTGGAAAGGAATGGAGGGGTTGGGAGAAAGGGAGTGGGCATTCCAGGCCTGTAAAACTCAAGGTCTAAAGGCCCAGGCATTCAAGGCCTCTGAGAACAGGCTTCCAGGGTCCCCAAAGTCCCCGCAGTGAGTGGCTGGAGGGCCCGGGAGCAATAGCTTATTGGTTCTGGACGCCCCAAGGCCACGAGGGGGACCGAGGACCACAGTCGCCTCCCCCTGGGAGCCTGCACATCCCCCAGCTCAGATCGCCCTGCCCCGGCGGACGGCGGGCAGAGGGCTGGCCCGGCACCCCAGCCGCGCCCCCCTTGGCTGCGGCGCGGCTCAGCTCGACTCGGCGAGGACGGTGCCGAGGAAGGGGCCGGCCCCGCCCGCGGGCGGGAGGAGCGAGGCGGGAGGAGGGAGCGCGCCCACACCCCGCCCCCGCCCCGGAGCCAGCCCGCGGAGCCCGCGGCCAGGGCGGCGCAGACCGGCCCAGCGACTCCCCGACTGCGAGCCGGGACGCGGGACGCGCGGCTGCCGACGAGTCCGTCCTTCCGCCCGCGCCCCCGGGGCTCTCCGAGAACAGGTAACAGCAGCGGGCGCGCGGGTCCTCAGGCCGGGGGGCGTGACGCCCGCCCGGACCGCGTTGCCCCCGGGGCCCCGCACCCTCCTAGGCTCCGGGGGGCCGGCGTGGGGGAGGGGCCGGCCGGGGAGGCGCGCCGTGCCAACCGCGAGGCCGGGCGCTGCCGCCGGCCCGCGCCGGGACGCTCAAGTTTTCGGGTTGTTTTGTCACGTTCCTGGCGGGCGGAGGGGACAGAGAATTGGAGGTGGCGAGCGCTAAAGCGTACTGCGGGGAGAGGGGCGAGCGGAGGGCCGTCTACGCTGCTTCCTGCGCCGGGTAAGGGAGCGAAGGAACGGAGGGGGCGCGAAGTGTCGGAATGTCTGGCCCCTCGGCGGAGGCCGACGCGGAGAGCGGGAAGTTGGGGGGCTGGGGAGATGGACCAGGCTCCCTGCCCCCTCTCCGACCGCTGCATTCCAGGCTGGAGCAGCGGATGAGGTCATCCCGTCCGGTTCTCCTCCGGGCTGGCCAAGACAGCCGCTGCCCCCTTCCCCCGCGGGGCGACCCTCCCCTTCGCCCCGAGGGAATGTTTTGTGGCTGATGCCTTTCCCGGCCTTCCAGTTCCCCCTGCCCTCAGGATTGTTCTAACCGTGCCCGAAGCATGCAAGGCCAGCGAAATTTGAAGCCCTTGTCTAAACCGGGAAACTGAGGCTCGGAGAGACGAAACTACTAGCAGGGAGGGAGACCACAGTGACCGAAACGTGGCGTGGGAACTCGAGACCCAGCGCAGCCGCCGCCTCTCCTGGTCGAGGGCTGGTGTGGCTCTAACTCTGGGTGGGCGGACAAGGAGCGAGTCTCCCGTCTCATCTCCCGCCTGGGTCCTTCTCGTCCCCTGTCCTTTCCCCCTGTCCCTCCCTAATGGCCCACAGTGCTCCCCTTGGAGTAGGAGAACCCGTCCCAGCAGCGTGACTGAAGACAGCTGGCTACCCCTTTCTGGCCTCAGTTTCCCCGTCCCTCCATCTTGAAGCTGCCGGGCTTTCAGGGACACGGGAAGCCAGTCCCCAGGACGTCACCCCTCATGCCAGGGCCAGGGCAAGTTTGGGGAAGCACCCTCAGCAAGACGGGGACGGCTGTCCAGCAGCGGGGGTGACGTTAGGCGGCTGGACGCTGGCAGGGAGAGCGTTCTGTGCGCCCGAGCAGCGGCCTCCAGGATGAGACGTGGCGCCACTTGTGCTGCAGGTACGCACAGCGGCCCGCCACCTGGTGAGCGCAAGGGTGCAGCGGCCGCCTCTGCCCTCCCCACCCGCAGCGGTCCCTGGCCTCCCCCAGACCACATGCGCCTCCACAGCGGCCCCTGTTGGCCTCTCCTAATGCGTAGTCCCTGCCCGGGCCCAGATGTTGTCCCTGTGTCCCTCCGCCATGCGTGAGCTGGAGCCATGTGCCCAGGCCCTGATTGTCCTCTACTGGGTAAAGACAAGGACTCCAGGGACACTGAGGCTGCATGGCCACCACCTGGCCCAGGTCACAGGCACTGAGTCTGCAGAGCTTCGTCTCCTGCCTCCCCACCCTGCCTCTCCTGAGCTCAGCGCTGGTGTCCAACTCCAAAACTTCCCCATTCCTGCCTGGGCTTCACCCAGCCCTGGGGCGTTTACTTCTGATGTTGGTGGAATCCTAGGCAGGCTCCCAGGCACCCCACTTTTTATTGTTCTTTGACCTACAGCAAATTAGTCTCCTTTCTGAGCCTCAGTTTTTCATCTGTAAAATGGGCATTCTGAGTATTAACAGGTAGTGTTCCTAGGCTCACTCACTGCCCCAACCACCAGGACAGTCAGTGCCAGCTGGGCACACCTGATGGCCAGCAACGAATGCCCTGTGGTCAGCATCAACTGCCAGATGGCTGCCACCAAGCGTCCCCAGGAGAGACATCAGTGTAAAAGTATTTGATTTGAACCCAGGGCTGCCCTGCTCCAGGGTCTGGGAGTTGAATTACAGCGTCTTCTAATTGTCACGCGCACAACCCCCCTGGGAGGGGACCTGCCTGGGATGCTGTGGGAAGACAGTGCCCTGCCCGGTGGCAGGGTCTCTCTATTGCAGGAGGGAGGGAGTGGGGGGCTACTATTTGGAGGTGCCCAGAAGCATTTGGGAGCTTGGATCATCCCAGGGTTGGGGAGAAAGCTGATCTCCCAAGTCAAAGTGGCCATGGAAGTTGGCAGGAGCCCCTTTTGCTGGGAGAGGAGGGGCTGCCCCAAGAAGTCTGGGAGCTGGAGGTGAGAGTGAGGTGTCTGTGCCCACATGGCAGACACAGTTGACCCCTCTACATGACATTCCACAGAGTCACACCCACCTCACCCCCAGTGCCTGCCCCCAGGGACTCATCCTTAATCTCTGCTGATCAGGGGAACCTGGCCCTGGCCGTGCACCTGCCAGTAACCTTGGACAGGTCCCTTCTCTGTGAACCTCGCTCTCCCTGTAAGATGGGCCAACCCTCCAGCTTTGGGGGTTGTTGGAGACTCAGATGACATCATGTAATGGCTGGCCAACTGCAGAGCGCTTATAACTTAGCAAACATTCCACGAGGACCAGGACGTCAGTCTCAGTGCTGGTGCCGGGGGTGCCAGGGAAAGGGATGATTCAGAACTCCCCCCGAGGGGAGGAGTTAGGGTTGGGGGAGGATCAGATGGTGGGAAGGGAGGAGAATGTAGTCAGAAAACAAAGCAAGCTTTGTCCTATTGCCTTCTTTGTTTTTATCGTGTTATTTAACCTATTTTGAATTTCAAACAACATTAGAAGGGCAGTATGGAGATTGGAGGTGGCAGCAATGGCTTAAAGAAAGAAAAAAAAAGGTTGAGACTCAGATCTAGGTGTTCTTGTTAAGAGTCATTATCAACTTTTACCACCTGAGGTCTCAGGCCTGTGAAGGTAAATGACCTGCCCAAGGTCACACTATGAGGACACTGAGTCCCCAGGCGCCCCCCCCCCACCACTCTCAGGAGGGGGTGGGGGTGATCCTTTGGCATGGAGGTTATCGCAGAGCGCTCCTGTGATTAAACCGTATTGATTTGGCACCTGCTAAGTGCAGAGCGCAAGCGGGTCCTGGAGGGAGGAAGGCAGGAAGATCGGGGCAGCTGCCCCACCCTCAGCACGTGTTCCCAACCTGAGGAGACAAGACTGGGCTCCGCAAGCCAGTCTAGGGCTGATGTGAGTCAGCGGCTCTGAGTTCAAGTCTCAACTGGCTCTCTCAGTCTGACCTTGAGCAAGCTTGCCCTCTCTGGGCCGCGGGAACACCAGAGGTGGGACCACAGGACCACAGGTGCTCTCCAGCCTGGACTTTCTCATACTGGACGGGAGGGGTCAGACCAGGAGATGCTTACAGAAGGAGGCAGGGGCTGGGGAGGGCGTGGGGGCAGATGAGGAAGGCAGAGAGTGGACGAGGAATAGCTAGCTTTGGGCACCAGTTGAGCTTTTTCCCAAAACTTGCTCCCTGACAAGGGTCCTGCACCAATTTGACAGACAGTGATAAAGCCCTTTCCTGCCTATCGTCTCAGACCCTCGAACATGCTCGTGCATACGGAGGAGGCAGCTGGGAAAAGGCACTTTTGACCGCAGGATCCCTTTTCCTGGAGCCTCTGCTCTGGCTGTTTACACAGCAGTTCACAAAGCCTTGGCAGGCACCTCATCCCTCCCTCCCGGCTTCTCTGGGTGGAAGGGATTTTAGCCCACGGAGAAGGGACTTGCTCAGCACGCCAGCAGGAGGTGGTACAGCCTGCTCAGGGGATCTGGGATTTGGGGCTGTGTTTCACCGTTTCCTTTTCTGTGGCTTCAGGCAAGTCGTTTACTTCTTTGTGCCTCAGTTTCCCCTCTCTATTACCATGCCTCCTTCAGGGCTGTTCTGTGGGTTTAAGTGATGATGCAGGCGAGGCACTGGCACTTTAAGTGGGCCCTGTAGAATGGTCTTTTCTATTTTTTACCACCCCATGAATTTCTTTCTTTCTTTTTTTTTTTTTTTTTGAGACAGAGTCTCACTCTGTTGCCTGGGCTAGAGTGCCATGGCATCAGCCTAGCTCACAGCAACCTCAAACTCCTGGGCTCAGGCGATCCTCCTACCTCAGCCTCCTAGGTAGCTGGGACTACAGGCATGTGCCACCATGCCCGGCTAATTTTTTCTATATATTTTTAGTTGGCCAATTAATTTCTTTTTATTTATAGTAGAGACGGGGTCTCGCTCTTGCTCAGGCTGGTTTTGAACTCCTGACCTTGAGCGATCCACCCACCTCTGCCTCCCAGAGTGTTAGGATTACAGGCGTGAGCCACCAAGCCCGGCCAGCTCCGTGAATTTCTGATGCCCCGCTCAGGCAGTACCTGCTCGGAGGCAACCACAGTTCTGATTTCTATTGCCATGGATTGGATTTGACTGTTCTTGAACTTCCCGTACATGGGCTGACACTTGGCTTCCGCTCAGCTTTGGTGGGTGCTCTCCGTCTGTGTTGTTGGGGGACGCGTCTCCTCCTTAGCTGCTAGTGTTTAGACCCAGGATCTCCTCTGCACCACTGCCTGCCGTCCGTCACTGTCCTGTTTTCCTTCCAGGTCTCCACATTGGGTAGGAGAGGAGCCAGCCACCTTGGAGGCACATCTCCTGCCTCCTCTGCTCGTGGATAGAACATCTGCAGCTGCTTCCACAGGGCTGGGAGCCGGGCCTTAAGCAGAGACAAGCATGGACACTCAGGCCCAGCACTCGGGGGCAGCACCTTAGGAGAGCCTCCGTCCACCGCCTTCTACGTGGGGCAGAAGGAGCTGAGAAGTGGGCCCCGAGCCCAGCCCCCTCCATCCCTGGCCCCTGGTGGGCATGGACCAGCAGTAGTGAGCAGCCAGAGCTGATGCCCGGCCCCCAGGGGGCCGGAGGAGCCCCCACCATGAGCCTGGGCAAGCTCTCGCCCGTGGGCTGGGTGTCCAGTTCGCAGGGAAAGAGGCGGCTGACTGCAGACATGATCAGCCCCCCACTGGGGGACTTCCGCCACACCATGCACGTAGGCCGTGGCGGGGACGTCTTCGGTGACACCTCCTTCCTCAGCAACCATGGTGGCAGCTCCAGGGGCACCCATCGCTCACCCCGAGGCTTCCTGGCCAAGAAGCTACAGCAGGTGCGGAGGGTGGGCATGCCATCCCGGCGGATGGCTTCTCCGCCCACGCCTTCGCCAGCTCCGCCCGCCATCTCCCCCATCATCAAGAACGCCATCTCCCTGCCCCAGCTCAACCAGGCCGCCTATGACAGCCTCCTGGTGGGCAAGCTCAGCTTCGATGGCAGCCCCGCCAGCTCCGTGGACGGCCGCTCAGCTTATGGTGAGGGCCTGGGTCATTTGCCCGTTTATCAGGTGCTGAGGCTGAGGCCCAGAGGGGCTCAGTGGTTCCACCAAGCCTCCAAGTGAGCTCTTTGCCCATAGTCGCTTGGTCTCGCCATGGAGGTCAGGCCCAAACCCAAGACTGTTGGAAGGCGGAGGATGGGCGGTAAAGAGGTGGGGACCAGCTCACTCCCCAAAGCATGGGAGGTTGGGAGCGAGGAGATGGGGTTTGAGTTCCAACTGCCTGGAACTTGCTGTGTGACCCAGGCAAATACTTCCCTGTCTGGGACCTCGGCTGGGCCAACCCCCCCTCCCCCCACTTTTTGCCCCCTCAGCCAAAGCAGCCCCTCACACCAGAATGATATCATGGTGAGGTTGCAAGGCTGGGCTCTGGATTCCAGTGCTGGTTCTGCCTGATTTCCAGCAAGCGACTGATCTCTGCAAGTTCAAGTCCTCGCCTGGATAACGAGCCCCTCAGGGTCTTGCTAAGATTCAGGGAAATCGTACATGTACCAGGTGAGGCCCAGAGGCTGGTACATAATAAGGGCCCAGGACACTTGGGCTGTACTTGTTATTTAAACAAAGCTTCCTGTAACTTGACAAATTTGGCAAACTACTTACAGGGACACAAGCCAGTGGCCCTTCCTGCCCTGCCAGAAGTGCCACCTCTGCTAAGCGGGAGCAGCTCACCTGGGAACCATGGGCCCATGCTGCCACCTGGTGGCCGTTCCTTGCCTTGTGGTTCACCCCCACCACTGGGCAAATGCCCCAATGCTCCTGCCCCAGGGGCCTAAGGGGAACTCCATGGGGGCCTGGTCCACAGCAACCCCGTTATGTCTCAGGCCAGGGAATCCTGGAAGCAGGGGGTGGACCAGGTGACCTTTGGAAGGCATGCGCCTGTCCTTGGAGTCTGATTTCTGTGCAGTCAGACCCCAGCTGCTGGTTGCATACCGTGTCCACAAACCAGCCTGCATACCATGGGTCCACCTGCAGCTGTCGGCCAGCACCAGGACAGGGAACCAGGGACCCGGGCCAAGTTCGCAGTTGGGACTGAAAGGAGATCTGTGCTCCAGATTTGGCTCTGCCCCATCAAACGCTATGGCCTTGGGCCGGGCCCTTCTCTTCATCCCAACTGACCCTCACCTTCCTCCTCTGCGAGACCCACACGAGGATTATGACAATTTTCATCTTTCAGGGTTGGCAGGAGGATCACGTGAGAGACTCCCCTCACTGCCACTCTGGGTTCACTGGGTGGGAGAGAGGGGAGAACAGAGAGGGGAGTGACTTGCCAGAGGCCACACAGCAAGCCAGGGCGGGTCCTGGCTGTCCCTGCCCCAATCTCTGGTCAGGGGCCCCAGCTCTGATCCCTCTTCCCGTCTCCCTTCCAGGCCTGGACTCTGGGTTCTGCACCATCTCCCGCCTGCCCCGCTCGGAAAAGCCTCGCGATGGGGACCGCGATAGCTCTTTCCCGACGGAGCCCGAGCTGCGCCGCTCCGACTCGCTCTTGTCCTTCCGCCTGGACCTGGACCTGGGGCCTTCTCTCCTCAGCGAGCTGCTAGGGGTCATGAGCCTCTCAGAAGCCGCCGCAACAGAGACCCCCGCCCCTGCCGCAAACTCCCCAGCCCCTGCCACAAGCCCCCCACCTCGTGGACGCCGTCCCAACGGGGTGACTGCTGGGCTGGGCCCCGTGGCTGAGGTGAGGGCCAGCCCTGTGGCGGAGGGTCCCCGAGCAGCCGCTGACCAGGCCGACGGCAGGCACCGGGGGGCGGGCTGGGGGGGCAGCCGCCCCTACACCGAGGTGGACGCCTGGCATGAGCTGGCGGGAGCACTGCCCCAGGCTCGGGCCTCCTGGCAGAGTCTGGATGAAGAGTGGGCGCCCCGGGCGGGCGGCAGGGCCCCCGTGCCCAGCACAGTACAAGCAAACACCTTCGAGTTTGCTGACGCTGAGGAGGACGACGAGGTCAAGGTGTGAGTGGCTGGGGCCTGGGCTCAGGAACCCGCCCGCCGTGGGGCACCTCTCTGGAGGAGCCCAGGTGCAGAGCCAGCCCCTCCTCGCCTAGCAGAGCTGGGTCCCGCCAGACCAGGGAGGGGAGAAGCCAAGTGACCCACAAGCCCCTCCCCGTCTCTGCAGGACAGACATGGAGGGAGGACCGGGAAGGCTGGGCTTGCTCAGGGCTCCCGGGGGCCCTGCCACTCTGCACCCAGTAGCCATTCCTTAGGCCCCACCCCACGCCACCCCCACTGGCCGGAGGGCCCAGCCTCACAGTGCTGCCTTTGTGCCCCACGAAGCTGCCCTTGGGTGGGGGGTAGGGAGTGTGCCACACAGGGCCATTGTCTCGCCTCCAGAGGGACCGCCTGCCCCCAGCAGCTCCTAATGGAGGTCCCCACTCTACCCCCAGGAGCCCTGTCCCAGGCTGCTTCCCCCACATCCACTCTGCCAGCCTCACACCTGTCCAGAGCCCTGCGGGAAGGTCAGGTGTCACCTCACAGGGAGGATCCCATCTTCCCAGACACCCCAGACCTGCTTTCTGGGACGTGATTAAAAAAGGCTTTTTTAATAAAAGGTGTCCTGCAAGATGCTTGGGGACCTGGTAGAACAGCGCCAGCAAGTTTTGGACCCCCCTCAAGGCCCCCAGCAGGGGAGGGGAGTGGATAGCCCAGGGAGGTAATAAGTAACCAGGCTGGAATGCCCTGAGATAAGAGGCCAGGTGGGGACCCTTATCAGCAGTTCCGGGAACAGCCCCTGGGGCTAGTGTCTGCCCTTAATCCCAGCCTGGCATTTGCCCAGGTGATAATGGGGGCCAATAGGCAGGAGCAGGTCCTCAGAGCTGTTGGGAGCATGTCTCAGCCTTCCCACTTGGCAGTCCTGTGTCCTTGTGTCTCAGTTTCCTCCTCTGTATCACAAGTATGTCAGGAGCACTAAAATGCATGGAAAGCACTAACTGCAGTTTCCTGCCACAGAGGGACTCAATGGAAGTGGGTTCTTTTGTTTGCTCTTGGCCTTGGGGGGGAAGGATGGGATCCAAGGGGCGGGAACTGCAGGGGAGTAGGTGGACAGACCCAGGACCCAAGAGCTGTTGGTCCTGCTGTGACTCAAAAAAAGGCTCAGGACAGGGATCCAGGCTGGGGGTCTTTTATTCCAATGAGGTGCTGCCCACTCAGTCAAACTTGAAGGAGGAGACCTTGAACCCATTCTGCACACTCAGGTAGCTCAGGTGGTTGTGGCCCAGCCTGTTGGGAAAGGTCAACCGGTGCCCGTCTGGCAGCATCACGTTGAATTTGTCACTCTCAAAGGTTATGGTCACCTGTAGGGGAGTTGGGGAGGGTGTCAAGGAGGCAGGAGGCCCTGGGAATGGGCCAGGGCAGTGCCTGGTGGCACAGACACTGCCAGCACGCATGTCCAGGACTACATGCCCTACCCTTTGGGCCCTCCCCTTGACACCTTCTCCAGACTGCTTTCCCCTTTGACCTCACCTTGACCTCTGACCCTGGGGTGAAGCACTGGTGATTATCCCGTTGCTCTTGTCCCCAGCTGCTGCCATCCTTTGTGTTGCAGACAATGATGGATTCAGTGAAGCGAGGGTTGAAGTGCAGGTTCAACTCATCTGACCCCTGGCCCAGATTAATTGCAAAGCTGCAGGGGAGGGGATAACAGGTGAGGTTTGGAGGCCAGGTTTGGGTAAAACTGCTTGGGTTAGAGGGTTTTGGTTGACCACACTAAGCTGGAAGAATCACGAAAAAAGGTTATGTTAATTAAGATCTGTGCCTTAAAACAAGGGAGGTGACAACCTGGTCAGACTTGGCATTGTGGTGGCACATTCCATTTGAAACAGGGAATGAGGCTGTTGACAGGAGGGTAACTGACAGTGATAGCTTCTGGAATCGAGGGTGTCTATCCTGAGACAGAGCATCGCCATCCTTAGATATCTGAGGACATATTAAATTTGGCTGCAAACAGTAGCCAGCCTAAGGTGGTGAGCTCCCTGTTACTAGAGGTATGCAGTCAGGGGTTGTGTGACTTCTTGGCAGATCTCTGCAGAAGCCTGGGTTAGATCATCAGGGTCCCCAAGAGCAGGACATTCTGGGTCATGGGGTGCCTTCATTCAGGGGTCTCAGACCAGGGACACCCCACATTTCTGCAAACGTGAGGGACTCAAGTAGGAGAAAGGAGTCACTTTTCTCTTGGCTCTTACCCCATGCATCTGCCCACCCCCTCCGGAACCAAAGGTGGATAGAGAGCAGTGCCGAGCCCCGCCGACACTGCTCTGCACACGTGGGAGCCGCGCTGAGCTGTGGCTCAGAGGTGGGTCGTGCCTCTGGTTCTACTGACCGGACGCAAGCGGGGTCACTTGGCGCCCCCTGGTGGCTGCCCTGGTTTATGCGCGTGAAAGGCCGGGCTCTGGCCGCTGAGCGGGGTGGCTGGAGGGCGGTGTCTCAGGGCTCGGGCTCTCAGTAGAGGCACCTGACCTGCAGGGCCGGGGCACGGTGCCAGGGGCTTCTCCACTCGCACCTTCAGTGGCTGTTGGGGCCAAGGAACAGCACATGGCGTCAGCTCTGAAATTCTGTAGGTCCCCAAAGCCCACCTCAGACAGAGGCCCGTCCCCACGGAGGGGTGGCGGAGCGGGGGTGGGGGAGGAGCAAGGATGTGGAAAAGGCCCCTTGGCCTGAAGTCGCTCTTGCCCGACCGCTTCACAGGGCTGTCCTGCCTGCCCCACCTGCCCTGCCCGCTCCAGGCCTCGGACACCACCCCTGGCCCTCACTCACCTGTTGGCGTCGTCGGGAATCCTGCCCTTGATCTTCAGGGTTGTCCCCGGCTTCATGTTCATGTTCCTAATCTCGAAATCCTCCTGGACAGACAGAGAAACGTGCCACTGGAGTCCCCACCGAAACTGATCACACCAGCCCAGCACCCCCTGCTGGCGAAGCCCTTTCGTGGCATCATCCATGTCATCCTGACCCGGCCGTGGGTCTCCCGTGTGGGGACACGGGAGGGCACTGAGCCAGGAAGGGACAGAGCCAGAGTGCTCTCATCAGGGCTCCCAGAGCCTCCCGCCCTCTCTGCCTTGCTCTTATCTGCCCCAGGATTGGGGCCCAAACAAGGGAGCCTTAGTTTACCCATCTATTAAATGGGTAGAGTGGTTCCTGCTGACTTTGAAGTTCCCCAAAGTGTTGAAGTGATGAAGTCCTGCTGCCCTTAGCAGAACCTCAGAAACCAGTGTACAATGCAGAAGATGCCTGTTTCAAAAGCATGTGTGCAGGTCCTGGCCCATGCAAAACTAAGAACCTATAAAACTCCCTAAGTCCCCTGTCTGAACATATCCACCAAAGTCCCTCTCCAAACCTCACTTCCCCCTTTTGAAAAATGGACTGATTTGATTTATTCAATAAAAAAACAGTTGCAGGGCCAGGCACAATGGCTCCAGCCTGTTGTCACAGCTACTCGGGAGGCTGAGGTGGGAGGATCGCTTAAGCCCAGGAGTTGGAGGACAGCCTGGGCAACAAGTGAGACCCCCATCTGCAAAAAAGAAACAGTTGCTGAGCGCCCGCTGTGTGACAGACACTGAGTTGGGAGAGGAATTGAGATCGTTTGTGAAGCCCCAAGCATAGGGCCTGACACAGACTAGAGGCAAATGGAGGGGTGACTGTCATTTTGATTACTTCTTATTGCTCCTGCTCGTTCATACAGAGGACCCAGCAGCACCTGAATTCTTTTTTTTTTTTCTTTTTTTTGAGACAAAGTCTCACTCTGTTGCCCAGGCTAGAGTGCCGTGGCATCAGCCCAGCTCACAGCAACCTCATACTCCTGGGCTCAAGTGATCCTCCTGCCTCAGCCTCCCGAGTAGCTGGGACTACAGGCATGCCCCACCATGCCCGGCTAATTTTTTCTATATATTTTTAGTTGGCCAATTAATTTCTTTCTATTTTTTTTAGTAGAGATGTGGTCTCACTCTTGCTCAGGCTGGTCTCGAACTCCTGACCTCAAGCAATCCTCCTGCCTCGGCCTCCCAGAGTGCTAGGATTACAGGCGTGAGCCTCCGCGCCCGGCCCAGCCCCTGGATTCTATACAGCAGAGGCTTCCTCCAGCTGCACTATGGCAAATAGGGAGGGTCTCAAAGCTGGGTTTTCAAAGCTCCTTCCCCCCAAAAAATGTCCACTTTCTACATCCGTATGTCTAGAACAACTCGTGGGAGAACACTTTTACATGCTGGGAGTTCTGTTCACTGACTTTTTTTTTTTTCTTTTTGGAGAGCGCATACTCTGAGAAGCCCTGAGCCAACTCATCGGACTGGGCACTTTGCCCCCGTCAAGGGCAGTGGCCGAGGGAGGGCGACCAATACTCTCCCACTGGCAGCCGCCTCCTCGTGGGAGGGAAGGAGGAAGCGACCTGCTGGTTCACACTGAGGGCGGGGTCAGCAGGCATCGGGTTCTCCCAGCGTCAGTACGGTTTCGGTTTCGAAGGAAGGCCTGAAAGAGGCAGCACTTCACCCAGGAGCGCGGGGCCAGGATGGCGGCAGGGCAGACACTGTGCTGCCTCTGAGCAGGGCTCCTCAGCCCCAGCTCTGCGGCATTTGGGGCGGGATTGCTCCTGTCGTGGGGCCGTCCCGTGGATGTCAGGCGGCTTCCCCAGCCTCTACCCACTGGATGCCAGTAGCACCCTCCCCCAACTTGTGACAACCCGAAGTATCTCCAGACAGGGCCAGATGCCCCCTCAGGGCAAAATCTCCCTGCTTCACAGAGAGCGGGACCTAGAGGCTGGAGGCCCAACCCCTCAGATGTGAGCTGAATGTGACAGCTGGATTCCCATCTTGGAGCCAGCCGGACTGGATTAAAAGCCTCCTTCAGCCTTCACTGACAGATGCAGAACATCACCTCTGGGAGACGAAGTTACCCGGCGAGGACAATCACAGTCCCTCCCAAAGGGGTTCAGAGGAGACGCAGAGCGCAGGTGTGGCGTCACACAGCCGGCGCTCACAGACCTGCGCTCTGCTTTGCGCACGCGTGTCTGACACCCGGCGTCAGGGGCTGCCTCCTCCTGGTAGCCTGCCCCCCACCCAGGACCCTGGGACAGTCGGGGTGGGGGATGGGAGAGCCGGGACTGGGGTGGGGAAAAGTATCCCCGCTCCCCTTGTGGCTGCCTGGGGCTGCCTGGCTGAGACGCAAGAACCCAGGGCCCCCAAGGATGGGGATGGGGCTGTTGCAGGGGCCCTCAAAAGGCCGGGGGTCAGGGGTGCATTAGGACAAATAGGGATGCTGAGACCTGTGGACGTGTGTGGGCCTGGGAGCCTTGTCCCCGCTCAACAAGGTCTAAGGCCCAGAGAGACAGGGAGGCAGAGCTGGTGGGGGCTGGAGTGGCTCATAGGCCGGGTGGGGGCAGGAGTCAGGGTGCCCAGGGTTCCTTCTGGCTCTGCCCCTTACAGGCTGGGTGAGCGAACTGGGGCCAGCCTGGTCTCCTTCTGGGCCTCGGTTCCCCCGTCTGTAATATAAGGGATTTGGATCGGGTGGACTATGGAGGAGAACAAGGAAAGAAAACAGAGGGGTGGAAGGACCAGGGGAAAGAGAAGGCTGGAAAGACTCCAGGCCACAAAGGTCCTCCCTGAGAGGCAGGGCGAGGAGAACATGGGACCCGCCATGCAGGGCACCCCAGTCACCTTCACAGGCTGAGTCCCACCTGCTGTGGCTTGAATAGTGTTCCCTCAAAATCCATATCCACCTGGAACTTGTGAATGTCACCTATTTAAAATAGCGTCTTTTGGCTCGGGGTGGTGGCTCACTCCCGTAATCCTAGCACTCTGGGAGGCCAAGGCGGGCGGATGATTTGAGCTCAGGAGGTAGAGACCAGTCTGAGCAAGAGTGAGACCCCGTCTCTACTAAAAATAGAAAAATTAGTGGGGTATGGCAGTGCGTGCCTGTAGTCCCAGCTACTCGGGAGGCGGAGGCAGGAGGATTGCTTGAGCCCAGGAGTTTGAAATTGCTGTGAGCTAGGCTAACACCACGGTACTCTAGCTGGGCAAAAGAGTGAGACTCTGTCTCAGAAAAAATAAATAATTAAATTAAATTAAATTAAATTAAATAGGGTCTTTGCAGATGTAATCAAGTCAAGATGAGGTCATACTGGCTTAGGGTGGACCCTAAATCCAACATGACTGACATCCTAATAAGAGGAAGGACATCTGGACACAGAGAGACACACGGAGGAGAAGCCATGAGAAGACGGAGACAGAGTAGAGCGACACTGCCACCAGCCAAGAAACGCCAAGGATCGCCAGCGACCACCAGAAGCAGGGAGAGACAAGGCAGGATACCCCGGCACCTCCAGAGAGAGCACGCCCTGGCGACACCTTGGTTTCACACTCCAGCTCCAAAACCGGGAGAGAACAAATGTCCGTAGTTTTAAGCCACCCTTTTTGTGGTAGGTCGGTGCGGCAGCCCCAGGAAATGAACACACCATCTCGTCCTCAGAAGACGCCGCCGGGGATCCCACTGCACAGACGCTGAGGGAGGCTGGGGCTTAGAGAGGGGCAGGGACTGGTCCTCGGCCACGCAGCCAGCTGTGGCAGAGTCAGGTACAGAATCAAAGAGCCATTAGCCAGGTGGTGGTGCACACCTGTGGTCCCAGCTACTCAGGAGCCTGAGCCAGGAGGATCACTTGAGCCCAAGAGCTCAAGGTTACAGTGAACTATGATCGGCCACTGCTCTCCAGCCTGGGCAACAGAGTGAGATCCTGTCTCTAAAACAAAGGAGGCTGGGCACAGTAGCTCACTCCTGTAATCCCAACGTTTTAGGAAGGCAAGGTGGGTCTCTTGAGCCCCGGAGGTTCAAGACCAGCCTGAGCAAGAGCTAGATCCCATCTCTACAAAAAATAGAAAAATTAGCCAGGCTTGATGGCACGTGCCTGTAGTCCCAGCTACTCAAGAGGCTGAGGCAGGAGCATTGTTTAAGCCTAGAAGTTCAAGGCTACAGTGAACTACCATAGAGCCACTACGCTCCACTCCAGCTTAGGTGACACAGAGTGACCCTGTCTCTAAAAATAAATAAATAAAAATAAAGGAAAAAAGAGAATCAGGGGCTTCAAAGGGGAGCCACTCAACCCCTGGCAATTTATAGGTTGTGACCTTGGACAATTGAATCTCCCAGCCTCATGTTTTCGTCTTTATACAGCTCAAATGATGTTAGCAATTATTTTATTATTGTTATTATTAGTATCACTGATGAGAAAACAGAGGCTAGAGAGGAAGGCTCGGGCTCCCTGCAGGATGGTGGCGGAGGGAGCAGAGAACCCTGCTGCTAAGAGGCTGTGGAGACCATCTGTCCAGCTTCCTTACTATACAGATGGGGAAACTGAGGCCCAGAGAGAGGCAGTGATGCTTTTCCCCAAAAGTCTCCCACCCAGGCCAGGACACAGATGAAGGGTAGGGGAGGCAGCATCCTCACCGACATGGTGACAGCTCCTGGCAGCAGCTCCCAGCAGCTCCTGGAAGCCTGTGCTCAGGGTCCCACGTCATGGTCAAGCTTATATCTTAGACATATTACACATTAACTGCCCCAAGGCCATAAATGAGGACTTTGGCCCCCTCGTGCCCAGATGTCTGCCTGCCTGCATCAGGCAGAAGCCTCCTCAGCCTGCCCCACCCCAGCCAGCTGAGCATCCTGCCTCCCTGCAGCCGCCCCTCCTCCTCTGAGCTCCCAGAGCCCAGGGGTGGCAGCCCCAGCTCTGCCCACACGACCCGCAATCCAGCCCCAGCTCGGCAACCCTCCCGACCTCCCTCCCTGAGTCGGGCTTCCTCCTCTGTAAAAATAGAGATTTGCTTTGCAAAATAAGTCCACGCTTCTAATTTTCCGTAACGTTGTGATTCATTTTCAGAGTCTTATATTTTTTCCCCCTTCACCATATCATTTTTCTGGTTGGATATGTAAGTTTCAAAGGCAATGCGTGGTGGATTCAAAGAAAACATCTAGAACAAACTGTTAGAAGTGGGAAAGGGAGAGGGAGGGCTGGAGTGGGGGACGCCGGGATCTTTGGTGCTTTGCTCTTGACTTTTGTTACTCACACTCCACGTGCTGCTACGGCCAGAGACGGTAACCAGAGAAACTCCCTCGTCATGTCACCCCTGAGAGGGGACATGCTTATTCTGTTGGCACATTTCCTTCCAGGCAGTTTTCTAGAAATTAATATTATAGACACCCCTCTGTCTATGCAATTATTTGTCTTCATTCAGGAAACATTAAAGCCCACAAATCTATATTTCAGAACCATATCCCAGTGGCTGTGAGATGTTCTGCTGTTCCATGACTAAATTTATTTAACCAATTTCCTTCTGTGGAACACTTACATTAATTCCAAATTTTTCCTATTAAAAATACTGCTGCATTAAATCTATTTGCACATGAAGTTTTGTCTATTTGCATCATGACAACTGATGTAGGGCAGATTCCCAGAAGTAGGACTTTTCTAGAGCTCTGGATTTGGCAAGCCAGACCGTTTTCCATCGGAGTTGGCAGTGGCCACTGCGGGCGGGCTGTGGGGAGGTAGCCCTGCTCAGGGCCCTCTGGTGCCAGGAGCCTGCGGGGTGGCTCACTGCCCAGTGCTCCCATGGGACGCCACCTTCAGTCCCTGGCCAGCCCTGAGTGGGGGAGTGGTTTCCTCATTTTGCCCACAAGGAAATGAATTCCTCCCAGGGGCATGGTAAATAAAGCCCAAACAAGATAAGGAGGTCAACAGAAACTGCCTCTTTTAAAGGTTGTATTTTTTCTGATTATGATAGTAGTACTGGCTTACTGTAGGTTTTGGAAAGTACACAAAGTAAAAAGAAGTTAAAAGTACACTGGTTTTAAAAAGATGTTTAAAGAGAGGGGAACATGACCACTCATATGATTTGTGTACCTTTCTCTGTGTGTATGTTTTACGTCAATGAAAGATTGAAGAAAAGAGATAAGAAAAGAAAAAAAATCAAAATCCCTGATAACTCCTATCTCCAATCTTGTACTCTTAACAGGGGCGACCTTCCCAAGGGCATCTTACACTTTACAAAGCACTTTCTCCAGCCCTTATTGTAATAAACTCACCATAAATTCCCTAAGAGATCTTCATTTTCATCCCATTTTCAGGTGGGGGACTAAGGGTCCCAGGACTCACAGAACTCGTAAGTAGCAGAACTTGCTGCCCTCACTTAGCAAAATGGATATTTGGCCTCCAGGAGTATGACCTTGACCCCGGGTTCTGGTGGCTGCTTCTGCGAAGGCTGGCAGTGGCCCCAGCTCCTGGCACTCAGGCCTGTGTGTAATTGGCTTTCCTGGAGCGTGGCTGGACCCAGTGCCCAGCTTCTAGATAAAAGAATACTAGAATATGGCAAAAGGGATGCAATGTCTCTTCCAGAGCTAGGGAAGCAAGCTGTGTCGTGAGTAGCCCCATGAGGAGGTCTATGAGCCAAGGCACTGATGTCTCCAGCCGACCACCAGTGAAGACCCAGGCCTGCCGACAGCCCTTGAACTTGGCATTGGCTCCTATCCCACTCTACCCTTGAGATGATTCGGTAGCCCACACCCCGACTGCAGCCTTGTGGGAGACCCTGGGCCAGAGGCACTCAGCCAAGCCCTGCCTGGATTCCGACCCAAAGACACTGGGAGAAATGTGTTTCTTATTTTAAGTCCCTAGGTTTGGGGTTAATTTGTTACACAGTGATAGATCACTAATATACTTTGCCAAGCAATTGTGATTGAATGTTAGTGGGAGAAATAACATTCATGAAGCTCTCCTGACTATAGAATCTGCAGTCCATACATGTCCACAGACAGTACATTATATCAATCTTTTTTGGTTTTCCTTCTTTTTTTTTTTGAGACAGGATCTTGCTCTGTTGCCCGGGCTGGAGTGCTGTGGTGTCAGCCTAGCTCACAGCAACCCCAAATTCCTTGGCTCAAGCGATCCTCCTGCCTCAGCTTTTTTTTCTAGCTTCTTGAGTTCACTAATTTTTCATCTTTTCTGTTTACTGATAAATGCATTTAAGGCTATTTGTAAGTTTTCCTCTGGCTACCACTTTGGCCACTTCTCAGGTTTTGAGATGTTTTGCTCTATATTCTAAATGAGTTGGGAATAGTGGCTCACACTGTAATCCTAGCACTCTAGGAGGCCGAGGTTGGAGGATTGCTTGAGCTCAGGAGTTCCAGACCAGCCTGAGCAAGAACAAGACCCTGTCTCTACTAAAATAGAAAAAATTAGCCAGTCGTGGTGGCGTGCACCTGTAGTCCCAGCTACTTGGGAGGCTGAGGCAAGAAGATCACTTGAGTTGGAGGTTGTATGAGCTAGGCTAATGCCATGGCACTCTAGCCTAGGCAACAGAGCGAGACTCTCTCTCAAAAAAAAAAAAAGAAGAAGAAGAAGAAAGAAAAATCAGCTGGGTGTTGTGACACGTGCCTGTATTCCCAGCTACTCAGGAGGCTGAGGCAAGAGGATCCCTTGAACCCAGGAGTTTTAGGTTACTGTGAGCTAGGCTGATGCCATGGCATTCTAGCCTGGGCAATACACTGAGACTGTCTCAAAAATAATAATAATAATAATAATAATAATAAATATTACCCTTGAATTTAGCCAGGTGGTCAGAAAATTGTTTTGAGCACTTACTAAGTACTTAATAAATATTTATTGACTGATTAACTGAATAGCAAAAATAAAATAATAATCACTGGGGAGAAGTTAGAATGTGAAACATTCCATATTCCATAATACAGGGTTGGCTAAATAAATGATGCTACAGAAATATAGGGGAACTACAGTGTTATGTAGCCATCAAAAAAATCACAATTTTTGGAGATCCTCTATGGCCACGGTTCCTTGTGCATGGTACAGTGTCGAGTGAGCAAACAGCCACAGAAGCAGGTCGCAGGGCTGCCCTCCCCGACCTGCCCACCAGATACCTGGCCGTGCTAACAGGCTGCAGCGAGGAGCAGCCACAACAAGGCAGCCAGTGCGGGCACCTCCGGGGTGCCAGGGAGGACACTGCCCAGCTGGCCCCAAAGGTAAACACGGCAGGCCGGACTTCATCCAAATGCGCAGGACCACGGGCCTCCGTAGGAGAAAAGTACAAACCATAACCAGGCCCTCAAGAGACCAAGTCTAGGTGGGGAGATAAGCCCGGGCAGAGGAAATAACTCGAAAGCGATTAATCACACCCCCTGTGGAAGGCTTCAAAAATTTCCAGGGTTCTTGGGTAGGATGGGCTCCTCAAATGTCACGTGGGGATGGATGTGGATGGCACGGGACTCACCTCTCGGTTCTGCCACGTCCTAGCGGTGTGGCCTGGGGCCAAGTTACATAATCCCGGGGGTTCAGCTTCCTCCTGTAAGATGAGAACAGCAAGTGTGGGCGGACTGGGGAGGTGAAGCCGGGCACTTCATTAACCACTTCATTAATACTCGGTAGCTGCTGTTTCTTGTCACTACCAGCAGCCCAGTGCCCTCCCGTGTCAGCCCTGGAGGCCGCTCACCTCCCCCTGGCGGCTGTGTCCAAGCCTCAGGGCCTGCGGGAACGTTCTCCCTACCAGCCCCGGCCCCATTTATGGCTTCCTGTGGCTGAGCCACTTCTGCCTCTGCGGCCCCTTGCCGCACGCACACACACATAAACATATGCATGCATACATAGAGTCCTATTTCACAACTTTATTGAATGGATATGTCAATACTGCGTATCAAAACATTTTCTTCTACCCGAAAGTTCATTTTTTTATTGTGACTTTACAGGAAATTAAAACATTTTGAGCCTAATGGAGAGGTTGGCTTCTGGTGACTGTCCCACGGGGTTCCTGCTGGTGGGGGACTTTGGTCCTAAGGTCTCTGAGATCCCTGCCTATCTCTTTCCTGTCTTTTTCCTCCCAAAGAACAAACAGATCAACCCCTCTGGGACATCCCTCCCACTTCCCTCCCTCCCCCCGCCCCAGTCGCCTCCTTCTTTGGAGAGGACAGAGGGAGCAGAGAGGCCGGGAGGTGCTGATGGGCGCATAGGAAGCGTGGAGCTTTTTTGCACCAAATGCGCAACTGTCCAGTCCCAGCTTTGTCACCTACAACTTCAGTCCCTAACCCCGGGCCTCAGACCAGTACCAGCCAGTGGCCTGTTAGGAACCGGGCTGCCCAGCAGGAGGTGAGCGGAGGGCCAGCAGCAAAGTTTCATCTGCATTTACAGCCGCTCCATAAGCTGCGCTTCCGGCGGATCAGCTCGGCATTGCGCTCTCACAGCAGCCGGAGCCCTGCCGTAACCTGCGCGGGCGAGGCGTCTAGTTTGCACACTGCCTGGGCGACTCTGACGCCTGATGGTCGGAGGCGGAGCTGACGCAGTGACGCCAGCGCTGGGGAGCGGCTGCAAATGCAGATCATCAGCAGAGAGGTTTGACTGCGCAGTAAATGTAATGCACTTGAATCTCCCTGAACCATCCTCCCCCTAACCCTCACTGGTCCGTGGAAAAATCGTCTTCCACGAAACCGGTCCCTGGTGCCAAAAAGGTTGGAGACTGCTGAGCTATAAGCTGAGTGGCCACGATGGGTCACTTTAAGCCTCAGTTTCTTCATCCGTGAAAGGGAGTTAATAGCACTTTTTCCCTGGGTGATTGTGAGAATTTTCTTTTAATTTAAAAAGTTAACCTATGTAGCATGTGGGACATAACAGAAGATGCTAAGAAAAAAAAAAAAAAAAGGAAATGCATGTCTGCCTCCTCCCCGGAGGAGGAGTTCACCTGAGATGAGGCCGGGAGTCCAGGAGAGCAGCAGAGAAGGCCGAGCACGGGCAGCTGGGACTCTGGCTGGGGGCACATTCCTTCCCTCCCTAGAAGACAGGTCTCCTTGGGAAGCCAGTGTCCCTCCTCCAGCGGGACCAGAGCATGGGGAGTGAGAAGAAGGGTGCAGGTGGCCGGCACCAGGTGACTGTCACAGTCCCCTGGTGCCGGCCACCTGCACCATCTATGCTCTTGCTGGCAGGTTAGGGGCCCTGCCTCCCCTGGACAGGGCTGGGGCTCTGCCCTGCACACTGCAGTCTCCACGCACACCAAACACCCTTCCAGGCCGGGCGCGGTGGCTCACGCCTGTAATCCTAGCACTCTGGGAGGCCGAGGCGGGAGGATTGCTTGAGCTCTGGAGTTCAAGATCAGCCTTGGCAAGAGCGAAACCCTGTCTCTAAAAATTAGTAAAAAAATTAAATTAAATTTTTAAAAAAGAAAAATACCCTTCTATTGCCATGGTCTTTCTTCAGGAGGGTTGGCCTCAGGCGCAGGGAAGCCTTTCTACAGCCTTGCGATCTTGGGCATGTCCCTTCGTGTCTCTGGGCCTCAGTTTATCCACCTGTAAAAGGGGACTGGAACTGCCACTCTTCATAGGGTCATCAGGGCCTTCAGGGGGCAGGTGTTGGAAGTGCTAAGCACAGTGCCAACTCATGTTGAGTGTTGAATAAATGTTTGCTGGAATAAATATGATTATCAGGCGTTTTGGGATGTTCAAACGGTCTGAGCGGACTCCAGCCCTTCAGGAAACATCCACAGAGCCCTTGCCTCACCCTGCCCTGGGAGCTTCCTGTTTAACCTGATTGCCGTGTCCCGTGGCCCTTCTCTGAAGCCCAGATGCTGGCTGTACTTGGCCACCCCCTAGCTAGTGTCTTTTCAGGACTGCTATGTCATGGGGAGCTTTCTGGTGGTAATCCGGCCTCACCTGGAATCACTGGGGTGGGGTGGTGTGGGGGGCTTGATGGGTAAGGAGTTTGGAGAAGGAGGAGGGAGTGGGCCGCAGCCCCCTAGCTGTCTCCCCTTCCCCAGCC